CCCGCCATTAAGCATGCAATTGAGGCCGCCTATGCCGCTATCCTGCCCCAGCATGTGGACTCGCTGTACGCCTCGACGAAGGTGGAGCCTTCTGGTACTCGCTCCTCCAGTAACTTCAGTGTACTGAACCTGCGGGCGTCCTCCCTCTTCGTCTACTTGGGTCTCCAATTGCCGCCGGACACGCTCGACGTCAATGTCCATCCCACCAAAGCCGAAGTGCACTTTCTGCACGAGGTAAAAAGCGGTTGTGATGCGAATTTTCTATGTGTGTATTGTTATTATCAGCCAATATGTCCATCCCTAGACATAAATAAGAAGGAAAATAATCTCCTTACCGACAGCTGTACTGTCCTAAAGTTTTAACATTTAACCATTTGAATAATCCGAAACCTCTTAAAACACCCACCTAAAATATCGAAAGCTTTCCTGCTTTTGAATCTTCAGGACAATGCCACCCAGACTCCCTATACTGGTCCAAGAGATTGTCTCCTATTATTCCTTATTCTTCTCCAGTCCATATTTCTCGTTGGACTTCTACTCAACAGATTGCATTTTCGTGCATCACTTGGGATCGGGACCGACTGGCTGATGATGGCTAATAAGCCAGAAATGGCCATTCCAGCCTCACTTGTCTTTCCATCTGCCACATATATGCATCATATATTAAACGTCACCACGCGACTGCTCGTGAGAGCTCTAAGGCACAACGAAACATCCATGTTCCTTAACCATATCAAGCAGCCCCATACTATTGACATATTCTCGATCGCAACCAAAAGAACAACTGGCCCGCGGTTCAACGGTAAAGTATTACACTCCATGACCGAAAGGTCGCGGATTCGACTCTAGGGTGATCCACACCTAGGATTAGATATAGCCAGCTAACTATGGTTTATAAGCCAGAAATGGGCTTTCCGGCCGCTCTTGTTTTTGTCGGTTCCACTTCCCATATGTATATAGACCATACCTATTTCATAACGCTTCAACATCATTGCGATGCTCTATGAACTATTCTTCACATTACAGAATCGTGCGAAGCAAGGCCGCTAGCGTTCAGGGACTAACACATCTGCAGTCATTGCGTGTGCGCTGAGCAGTCCTCACCGCTGTTTAAGCATTTTGTAGTGTTCAGAGATATGGAGAGGGGTCGGTTGTTCGATTGGCCATTGGTATTGGGTCGTCCTGACACCCTTATTAAATAATCCACTCCAAATCAGCTGGAGCATTATCTTGTATTCGACAGGCACT